CTCAAGGGGTAACTGTATTTTTTTTTTTTATATGTCTAGAAGTATGCTTTTTATTAATATGTGTCTGTGAAATCATTTCCTTTTTTTCCTTCTCTCTATCCGCTTCATATGCAGGGACGACTGGCTTTTCAGGCACTCTTCTCTAGAGAAATATTGCCACAAAGTTTTTCCCCACCCCATGGTTTAGACAAAAGGGATTTGAAAAATAACAATAAGGACATAGAAAATTCACAAGAGAAAGATGAAGATAGATTGCAGTTAGACCTTAACAGTAAGACGTGGAATACCTCTTCCGGGAAGCTAAGAATGGAAGATAATGCTACTTTGATGGGTAAAAACAAAGAAGAGGGACCCCTGAGTATGGGACTTGGATACGCAAAGCTAAAAGCTCGTAGAACAGGGTTTAAACCTTACAAAAGGTGCTCGATAGAAGCAAAAGAGAGCTGGTCACAGGACAATGGCCAGGAAGAAGAGAAAGGCCCTAAGAGAATATGCCTAGAAGGAGAGGCTTCTACCTAATGCTTCCTCTGATGTTGCAAGCATTTTCCTCCTTTATCAACTATCACGTTAGCATTGAGTTTATCTATGTAATATTATGGATTTGAAATGTTTAATGTTGGCGTGTACTCTAATATTACTTGGGACTTGTTTTTATTTGAACTAATGCAAAGGCAATTCGAAAACCTTCCTGGATGCGTCTCTTATCAGGCCGCTTTTCCTTCCCATATCATCTGTTGAAGAAAGATTTATTTTCTTTTGCAAATATTCTTCCTAGTACTCTCTTTCTGATGTTGGGTAGGATTAGTGTCTTTTAGTAACTGTTATAGATTAAGCTTTATGACATAACTTGGAGGAGAAAAGAGCGTATCCAATAATGCCATTAATTGCTCTTCAAATTATGACAGAAATTGAAGGAGGAAGGAAAAATTAATCAGCGATCTTGAGTTTTGAAGTTTAGTTTCTAGGGACTAGGTTTCAATGGTGGTATCAAGGTGGAAGAATTCTTAAATTCGAATGATTACAGTTACGATAGAGCACAAATTTTAGTTCATAAACTAAGGGCAGAGTATCCAAGTGTAGCAAGTCTTGTTTCTGAGATCTCTTGGCTGCAATGGTTGTTGAATGAATTAACAAGGCCACTATCTCAATACCAATAATCTGATTTGAATTTGAGTACAACTTGCAATATTCTAATCTAGTTTTGCATGCCGGTGCAATGAATATTTATCGTTCGTGAAATGATACTTGAAAGGAAAGCGGAGATTCGTGCAATATTCTAATCTAGTTTTGTATGCCGGTGCAATGAATATTTATCGTTCGTGAAATGGTACTTGAAAGGAAAGCGGAGATTCGTCGTGTTCGCCGAGTACACAAATTAAGTTTAAAGAAATAGGCTTCGTAATGATATTGTTCGGTTCATGATAATTTATGTCAACACAACCGAAAGAAGTTTTAACCCATCGGCTAATGCAATCTCTTAATTTCTTAGGAAAGAAATAGAAGCATATCATCTTTTGAGTTCGTGCACGATGTATCATGTTTATTACGTTGATAAGGCGTGGTCGGGTTGATTATACGATATCTACCTATAAGTAAAGAGTTGCAATGGCTATCTAGTTTCATGATCCATCATCCCTGAGGCTGTGGGAACAATCTGCATCCCAATCTCCTCATTCTTGCTTTTTCCCCAAAGAAGAACATACATACCCATAATTACTGTAATGTATCCTAGAATGCTGCTCAAAACAAATACAAAATTAGTTGTAAATTACATGTTAGTAATTTATTAGAGAAATCATACAAATATTTGTGCCCATTATTTTCAAAATAAATAACACTATTTATCATTATGATGATGAAACATGAATGATGTAACAGTTTATATGGAAAATGAAATTGGACAGATCAATTTTTATGAGAGCGAGAGGAGATGTGGTCTCAATGGAGAGAATGCAAGGAATAATGGATTGCCACATTATCGATATTCCATCGTCGTAATGATATATAGTATTACTCTTTTAAAATATATACCTCTCTTATTTTCAGTCACATATTCTTCAATAGTATAATATTACACGCAAACCCAACATTTTTCCTTATTTTGTAATCACGCATTTTCATCAAAATACTGTTCCAAAATACATTTTGAACAAGAAATGGGCATCGAACATGCATTTGCTAGAAGTTATATTGATCGGTGAAAGATGTTCACTTATAATCTTTATTATGGTTAATTAGGATTCTCGACCGAGACGACTAACTAAACTTCCAAACATATTTTGTGATCCAACCGCAGCCAGCTTACGCACGTTAAGGCTTGGATTGGTATTGTTGCAGATTTTTGGGTATTTGACTTCGCAAAAGCTGCATTTTATCGTGATGTTATATAATTATTAAAATAGACTACGATAGTAAAAACTCCTTATGCATTATTATTATTGGTCGTATTTCAAAATTTATTCTTTTTTTCATAACTTGTAAAATAATTAAATATCACTATAGTTATTTTATAAGGAAAAAAAATATTTTTGATTAAATAATTCAACATGATTTTCTTAAAATAGACGCTCGCCTGCCAAGGTAAATTTCCTGGTGCAATATTGAGACATCAGTTAAATAAAAAAAATGTTCATCGAAAATTAAAAAATCAAATTAATTTGAATAAATAATTGAAAATTGATTTATAGCTCAGACAGCATATAGGATACTTAAAATCTCTGACTTTCCCTTGCAGAAATATTCCTCCCCAGTAATAACGTTACTTCAACAGGAAAATAGGACACCAAATGCTGTGAAAATGTTCCTAAATGGGTTTCTAAACAACATAGACAGCAATATATAGCATGCATATATGGATGGAGTACGGACAAAAATGAATTTTATAGTCTAGGGGCCTATTTGGGCCCGATTTTTTCACCCAAAAAATCGAGTAAGGCACAAAGAAACATTTGACCCATCAATCGAGGTGTCAGCTTACTCAAACTTTCCCTGACATAAATGTATTTTAGTTTCTACAATTTGTTGGGATTGTCCAAATCATTGTTAAATCGTATTACCTTTCACATAAATAGGCAAGTGGAGTCAAGAAGACAATATAGATTAATTGACGGTATTAGGCAACAATGATTATATGATTCATTTCTCGTTCGAGTGCCATCTCGAAAAGAATGTTACCCGTCCCAAAAGCAAATTCAACACACAACATTGCAACAACTGGCTCCACCTCTCAATAAACTTCATTTTTAACATGTCCCAACTAAGACATTTATGTAAAAAAAAATTCTTCTTCTTTGCATTCTATCCCCTCTATTGGAGAATACATAGATGTAATATTCTATTCTATAATCATCAGCCCCTGGCCTCGTGGATTTGATAGGAGTATGATGCTTGTCTTTCTTGTTTGGTTTACATTTTTCTTGAGATTTTTAGCAAAATTCGATACTTTATAAGTTCGATTATATATTAAAATAATGTCCAAAATTTTTAATGATAAAGTGTTCTCCCGATTCCTAAACTTCCAGTTTAGCCCTCCTCTTGGTGGATATATTTACCATTTTATCCCTGAATGCTTTTCGATATTTTTTCACGTCCTCATGAATCTACGGTAAATCGATCTTCTGACCAAAATAGTGGTTGAAGAAATTGGAGGCTTGATGTTCTTGCCATCATAATGTTTATGAAAATCAAGTATATCTAAAGGTTAAAAGGGTCCCACTTTTTTAATACGAAAATTAGTTTTCAAGCAAAAAGCGTAATTAGAGTAGACAAAGATACGAACCTAGATTATACAGAAATGAAAATGAGAGATGAAATGTGAAAGACGTGTCACAAGAAAACGTTATTTCTTGAAAAGGGTAGGTAATGGAGAAAATATAGCCCCTGTTTGGTTCCCCTCATTTTTTCATTAAAATGAAAAATATAATCGTTATCCATCACATCAAGCTACTAAATTTGAATTTCTATCTCTTGTATGGGGTCATAACAGCTATATTTTTCATTTTCATTCTTCCAAAAATGATAAACAAACGGGGGCTATTTTCTTGTGTATTAAAATTAACGTATGAAATTATATAAATTATTTGTTGAATCCCGAAATTAAAGTACTTCTTAATTCAAATTCCACAAAAGTCCATAATAACATGCAATTCTTTATCCACGTTTTCAAGCATTTTGGCCAATAATTTCCTAAAATATATAATTGAAAAATTAATTTTTGAATTTCATGAAAAGGGTACTTAAAAATAAGTTTAGAAAAAAAAAAGTTATAGAAAATTAAGCTTAATTTTGGAATTATGTTCCAAATTAAGGAAAAAGCAGGCTTAAGCATCTATACGAAAGTAGCCCATCACTTTCATTCATAGCACTAACACCACACTCCGGGGAATGGAAAGAAAAGTTTCACTGTTTCTGCTTACTCCAGTTGGTAAGCGGGAACAGTATGTCTGATCTTAACTTTCCTTTTTGGTCACTAAGTGCTTCTACCGTTCGATCAAACTTTCGTCAAACTTTATCAACTTTACCCATTTTTCAAATGAAATGATAACGGGACAACCCTTCGACTTCTTTGGCGGAGCAAGGTGATTTTTACTACTCCGATGATAGGTAAAATACCTGAAAGAAGAGGTTGGAGCTATCTTCCCCGTTGTACCTCCGACATTAGAATTAGTTATAGAATTTATGTGAATATTGAATGACTTGAAAAATGAGAGAAAGCTAGAAAAGTACCGTGAAGTAAAGATCCCTCATACCTAACACATCTTTAAAGTATTTATAGGTGCTCAGTACCATGTATCCGCTAGGCAATTTTCGTCCACATGTCCAGTGATTAACGTCAACCTACTAGACGATTTTCATCCACATACTTAGCGGTCAACTTTCTCCTACAAAGCGGTTAAAAGTGATCAATGATGTGGTTTTCAATCAATTAAAAGGATGTCGGAGCGGTTGGAAGTCATGGTGGTAGATCGATTGCCGTAGTCGATCTATCATCGTGATATTAGGGCAATCATAGTGGTAGTTGGGAAAAAGCTTTCACTTGGTCGGTCATCGTAGTCTCCATGGGGCATATTTCAATGATTTCCGTATTTTTGTTCCATGCTTTCCCAAAATTTACATTGCTTCTTCTAAATCTCCAAATCAAAAATTTAAAATTAAGCAGAATCTGATAGGTAGGGTGGTAGTTCTTGACATTTCAAAGGGACTTAACTTTTTTAATTCTTCAACCAAATTGGACCAATTGCTAGACAAATATGCTCGTGTTGAAGCCCCTAAGTCCAATGAAGAGCTTCCCGAATCTAATCCTTGCGAAATCACTATATACAAAGATTGTATTGATGTGGGTTCAGGTTTCCTATCCATCATTTCTTTCTCTCGATCTGCAATGAATTTCATCTTACTTCTAGTCAAATAAATCTCAATGCATGGAGGAAAGCACTATATTTCTTATACATTTGCCTTAGTAAGAGGATTGTACCCTTATTGACTTCTTTAGGCGTGTCTCATAAAGCCTACCTTAATAT